CTCATGAAAAGCTCGACGTTTGGCTTATGCTTTCTAATATGCTTATGATTTTCAAGTACCTAGAGAATTCTTTTAAAAAATGCCCAAGACATGAAACTCTTTGAACCTTTTGAATTCAGTGCTGGCATGCATCGGAGAGCGAAGAGAGAGAAGGAAAGCTCGTGATAATGCAAGCTTTTTTAGCAAGAACTTTTATTTTGGAATGCTAATAAGCTTTTACCCGTGAAAGGTTTGAAACCAGGAGTCATTTCATATTAAGTAGGTGTAGCATGATCGTCCGGGTGAGCGTAGCCCTAAACAGGACTGTTATTGACAATGACTGATATTTCGACAACCTAGTTAAAATATCTGTGGTAGTCAGTTGATGGTCTTGACTCTCTAAGTTAGTTCTATGGATGTAAAATTCTAAAGAAGGGACGATAAACTGAGTGGTAAAATGAAAATTTTTATCAACCCTCTGTGCAGCGTGGCAACCGAAAAAAAGAAAAAACGGGAATAAGGCCGTGTTTAATGGATAGGTCCCACCGAGATTTGAACTCTGATCGCTGGATTCAAAGTCCAGAGTGCTAACCATTACACCATGGGACCACGCACGGTAAATTTATTATTGAAAATTATTAATACAATAATGTGAATTTTTATAACCAATAATAAAAATATTTCATTGCGTTAACTTTATTGGCTTGATTAAACTTGGAAAAACGTAAAACTAGTTGGCCGGCGAGATCTAAACAATAAGTTTCTAAATTTCGTTTCTGTTAACATTTCTTGAAAAACATTGTGTTTTGTAAAAGTTATGTGACAGATGTTTTGCGAATATTTAATTGTAAAAATTGTGCGCGATTAAGGCCCTTATTTATATTTGACTATCTTTATTGACGACAGGGATTCCAAAGACTGTTTGAAGCTGATGTTTTTTAATATTCCATTTTCAAACAAGAAAAGTTCCATCATCAAAAGTTCCGTCATGATTTGCAAAAATAAAACTAAATGCACCTGTGTTTCAGATGTGAAAAAATCCGACCACGAGCTCAAAGGTTAATTAAGCCGTATTGTTATCCGTAAGAGTCCCGTGGTAGAGCCAGCAGGAACCAACTCAGCATAGAATCACTGGCTGCGTTGTAGCACGCTTTAAATTCATGCCACTGCGAAAAAGCTTTCAGATGCTCTACCCGCGACCATGGCTAGTGTGATTTCTCTGGGAATTGCTTTCCTTCTCACCGTACAAGTCTATGGACGAACGTACTCAGATCGTAACTGTAAGTAGAGTTAGATTTACGAAAAGAAAGAAATTATAAGTCTGAATACGAAACGTCAAGCATGGGTGAAAACGAGCGACAACACTTTTATCAGAGATACTGAAAAATAACACCGATAACATTATAAAATTATCAAAACTGGGGAAAACTTTTTTAACCTAAAAGGGTGTTTGATATTTTCTGTAAGATAGTTTTGTTGATAGAATACTTGATACAGACAAAGTCTAAGATATATTTCTAAATTGAAAATTCTAAAGAGTTGGTTTTGAGAGCATTGAGGACCTGGCACCCTTTTTCGAAGTCCCAGTAAGTCGGACCCGAAATCAAATATTCAAATCAAAATATTAAGTTCAAGAGCGCTGGCCTAGCTAACCAACCAGTCCATTTTTATTTGGTTTGTCAACTGATACTTTATCATGTTGTCTACAAAAATATTGAAACCTGTATCTTGTAATCGTCTTGCTTTGACAAACGGACCAAAAAATAAAGCTTCCTTTCAACGAGAGTTGTCCGCCTTCTACACTCCCATATTATGACGGTCAATGCATCAGAACAGCTGGAAGGCGATGTATATAATCAGAGATATCAAGTAAGCAGGAAGTTTCTTTTACAGTCTCTCAGTCTAGTACTACAGGTTACTGGTTTATCGATTAGCAACTAAACTACATAGTTTCATCGCACTTTAAAAGAACGATTTGGATTATTAACAGGGCCGTCAGGAATCTTTTTTGCGGCTGCTTCAGTTTTAAATCCGTAGCACAGTGAACTATGCTCTGACTTATGGTAAAAAAACCAAGAAAACTGGCAATGGCAACAGCGGATTAACATCAAAAGAAGAATATTTGTTAAACTGGAGAAGAATCACTTTTTTTCTTTGATTTTCTTTAGATCATCTTGCAAATTTATACAGGGCATATCGTAGTGCAAGAATTTATAACGGCAACCACATGCCTGGCGTAAAAAAAGATGATGATAGCAGCTCAGAGCTCTACTCTCCGAAAACCTATCACGCGAAAGGTCACAATAGAGACCTATTGAACACAAATGCAGGCATTCTAAAGGGAAGTGCACGCGATGATAGCATGCCTTACGAGCAACTGTCACCTGTAAATGAAGGATACAAAACCAAGGCCACTCACCACGGGGAGGTGCGATCAGTGGACTCTATAGCAAACGACGACAGTTCATTGGAACGCTTTGAAATGCGTTTGCCCAGCCTTGAAGGTAGCATTACTTCTCACCGTGACGGAAACGATGACAGCCTTAGCGAGTACCCACCCCTTGAAGAACCCCGTAATAAGGGACACGAGATAACGGACGGCGTTTTATGGGCTGAGGAGCGTGTAAAATCAGAAAATTTAGATGACGATAGCGCTGCTAACGAAGAGGGAAAAATTGCCAAATACAGTGGGCGTGGTCCCGGTCTTTACTCGCAGCCAATCGATGACCATGTGGATCAAGATACGTTTCACAAGCGTGGCAAAACTCGTAGCTGTCTAATTTGCTGCATATATCCAGACAGGTAACCTAGCGTTCTATTTGCGAATCTTGAATTTACATTTTCGTGCCTCATTTACACGGCCTTTTCATTCTCTGATCGAGTGATTAAGATAACATTTCTGAATATTGGTAGAGCATATACCAAACATATTCAGAGAAATTCTCTCTTAAAACTTTAGACAAAGAATTTACGGGCTAATTAAGCCTGCGGAGCAAGCGTTTTTTTCTCTCGAAAGCTCTAAGGTACAATCTCTTACTTGGAATCACTTTTTGACTCACCCCAGTTCTCTGTCAGTTTCATTGTGTAAGATTGTGGGAGAATATTTATAGTATCGTCGTTCGCACTGCAAAATATGCCTGATAGGGCTAATTGTTAAACCTCTTTTTGCCGCCCAGCAATTTCGCAGATTTTGATGTTTTATAGTTCAAATTAAAATTAAATTGAGAGTTGAAGTTGACTTGAGAAATTTGCGCAATTTTCAGCTTTGCTTTGTAAGCTGTAAGTTCCCTCAGCGATAATGAGCAAAAATGGGAACAATGACGTCAGCAAAATTGGCCTATACCATTGGATCATTTCATTTTTTTACTCCTTTTACGGGAAAGCAACGAAAATACCGAATAAACAAGTGGTAACGTGCGGAGATTCTGGTATGTTAAAAAGCCTATCCACACAATCTAATGAAAGAAAGGAAAAGTGCGTGTGTCGTTGGCTTTCGACAACAATAACCTGCTTCAACGTCTTCAAGATTAATTCTTCAGTTGGCCAAAATTTACCAAAAACTGATCATGGGTTGTTTCTTTTAAGAGAATTGTTTTATATCTTTTTAAANACGTGCGGAGATTCTGGTATGTTAAAAAGCCTATCCACACAATCTAATGAAAGAAAGGAAAAGTGCGTGTGTCGTTGGCTTTCGACAACAATAACCTGCTTCAACGTCTTCAAGATTAATTCTTCAGTTGGCCAAAATTTACCAAAAACTGATCATGGGTTGTTTCTTTTAAGAGAATTGTTTTATATCTTTTTAAACGTCCCTAGTATAAATAACATTCATATAATGTACTGATTTTACTTAATTTCAATTTCTACTTTTAGCACAGTTTGGAACCACAAATGCGGAACTCATTTCAGCGTTAACTTTGCTCTGTATCTCATAAATTTAATTCTTGTTTTAGTCACAAACTTGCCCTCGAGACAAATTGTTTGGGCAACTGAAACTGAGAAGATCAAGTAGTGAATCACCCCTATGCCTCTTCCCATGCAAAGTTTTTCGCTGCCCAAGCAAGGCTTTTTACTTTGAAATGGTGGCATAACGTTAATTTTTTGTCTTTGTTTAGCAATATATGCCCCAGAGCACACGATTCCTGTCAGTGCTCTCTTGACTGACGATGAGGAAGTTTGATATGGCAATGAGAGAGATGGGGATTAAGCATTACAAGAGTCATTGAACAACTCATTCAAGATATTCACTGATAACACAGTTTCACTAGGTAGCAACCACCAATTCGCCACTTGAGAAAAGTCTGGGTACCAGCGCCAGTTTTTTGTACTGGTGGTCTAGGATTGAGTAGGTGATGAAAATTAAGGCATGACTGGTCTGTCGTTTCAACAGACAGGCAACCATTGGCCAATTATATTTCGTTTCTGTCTGTATGTAGTACGACTGAAACAATACATTTCAGTGCCTAAAGCTGGTACTAAAAGTTGGTGGCTGAAATTTACATGTAATAAGTGATGTTCCTCTGAATTGGTGTTATATCCCATTAAACAACATTTTATCACGAAGAATGGTCTTTGTTTTTCAATTAATATAGGCTCCCTTCCCACGAGTTAGGATAGTTTAAAAAAAAGTAATATGTTTTGCCAGGTAAAAAATTTGATAATCCTTGTGGAGAACATTTGTTTTAAAATTGAAAATAAGGTGGCAATAACTATGAATGAAAAACAGACAAGCTTGACTTACTTTAGACACTCCGAGATGCAGTATATTTTTAATTAGGAGTCTTTGTTCACAAACAATAGCGTTTTAATTTTCATTTTCTTTTTTCACCTAAATTGACCAGGTCCGGCTTAACCACGTATTCTGGCTATAAGCCTGCTGCTGACAAAGTTGGTTGCAACTGATTACTTATTTGAAGTGATATAACTATAACTTCTGTGGTTTCTTGGTTGAAAAAACAGGCGTACGTTAAAGAAGTCTTAATGTTCTATGTCGTTATAAAAATACCAATAATTATTAATAATCACGGACCAATGTTCCATTGAGGAGAGCAAAGACATCTTGTATTGATGTACGAACACCTGTAGATAATAAAAAATAATGATAATATTAAAGTTAAAAAATTTATGAAAACTATTTATTTGAAAATACGCTAAGATGGTGAGCATAATTTTTTTTTTGCATCAACATGCACAAATTAAAAAGCGAAAACCAAGGAACTTGAGATGTGTCTTATAGTGTTAAAGTTTAAGAAACCGCATGTGGCATTTGGCATTCAATGTTTTAAAATTAAGAATAATTGAAAATACTAATTTTACAAAAACAACCGACGTTCTATCGAAATATTATGTTATGAAAAGGTCAAGTGAACATGCCAACCACATTAAATGTAATGAGGCACAATGAGTTTCCCAATACTGACTCATATAGTTTTAGAGACCCAAAGCCTAACAAACAAATTTGTAACCGATTGTTTTATGATGTTAATCTTAACACAGTTTGAAAGTTGATCTTAAACGAATTAGGGCGAATAAAATAGCTTTCCAGGTCCGGATAATTGCCGCGACTTTCGGCGAGCGACGGTTCCGAAGAAGCCACGAGTCTCAGTGACTTACCACAAGTCTTGACAACAAGCGGTACAGTCTTCAGGTGGGGCTGGATTTCGCTTCAGGCTCGGTGATCCAAATCCCTCCTTCTCACCCATTTCCTCTTGTGGATATGGGGTTTCATAGAACGGGTGGGGATTTCCTAACAAGATCAATATTAAAGACAATAAAGGAAAAGAAAAGTTTTAAAATATCGAGTTCTTATCCATTAGATGAGCTGAACTTAAAGATTTGTCTCCTTAGAAATGAGCAAAATTTTAACGAGGTTAATCATGAAGCCATGTATGCCAATTTATTATTGATTCATTTCGTACATCGCTGATAGGTTTTTCTACTTCTGCCATAAGAACTTAAAAGTCAATAAACCCACGTTTTAAATGGGCAATTTTTCAACATATGATTTTTGAGTATTAACGACGTCTAAGAAGACCTTAATATATGGCCTTTTATCTTTTTCTACTTCTGCAATAAGAACTTAAAAGTCAATAAACCCACGTTTTAAATGGGTAATTTTTCAACACATGACTTTTGAGTATTTACGACCTCTAAAAAGACCTTTATATATGGCCTTTTATCTTTTAAAGATTTTCCTAAAAAGAACTTTTTTACTTTTTAATTATAAGAGTGCGTTCAATAAAGACACACAGTGACACACCTAAAGTCGACGCAAACATTATTAACAACCCAAACGAAACAAATTTCGAAGAAATATATTTCATAACCGCTATTATTTTCTGCCAGTTTAAAACGCTGCAAGTGCTACGTGCTTTGCTATATTGAAAGAGGGAAGGGAATTAGCACTTCTGTCGATTTTTGTTATCCTTGGTAGTTGCATTTAGCTTACCGAGCAGTTGCCAGTTCTTATGGATGAATGTTAATAGCACGTATACACTCTACATCTTTCTATATTAATTTCAGGATTGAGAAATAAGAGAATTTTCCATCCTTCCTCAAGAGGAATCAGGCTTTTATTTGCTTGTTAAACTGAAGAAAAACTTGCCCGACAAATTGTTGATTATTTTTCCTTTCTTTTTCGAGTTCTGCCGCGCCTAGTCACCTGGACTCTTAAAGCTTATAGCGTTTTAACTTTTATTTTTTAATTCAGTTAAAAACAAGAAGACTGTGTTATTATTTGTATCGGCAGGTAAAATTCGATTTTGGTGCTAATTTACATTTGTTGTAGATATTTCAGCAGGGAGCCGTGCAATTATAGTTAGGGGGCGGAGGAAGACGCCGAAAAACCCAAAATGTGATCGAAGGGCGCTTTCCTAAAGTCACTGACTGATCGGAACGCTCATTTTGAAAATAAAATATTTAGCTTTTTCTCAACACTTTCCCTATAAGCCGAGCATAGTATTATAAATAGAAAGTAGTGTTTATAGTGGAATTCTCCTTACAACTGTAGGAGGCCAGTGTGGCCAGTTCTAACATATTGAAAGCGCTTTAAGGAAATACGGCCAGCCTAAAGAATTGACAGGTGCCATTATAATGACTGAACCTTTCTGGATGTAAGCCTCGAGTCAGAAAAAAAACTTATGAATTGCTTGGTCATTTTGTTGGGTTTCATGTTAAAAGCGGATGAGAAAAACTTTCGGTAGTTAAATTTACCTTTAGTTCTCTCTGGAGGTGCTGCTGCAGCAAAAGCCAGGATCACGCTGAAAACACAGACGCTGCACCAAAAACTTGCGCTTGACATCCTGGGTAAAGTATTATGAATAGTTTGCGGAGCGTCAACTTGCCCTCTTCCTAATATATGGTTCACGGAACAATAAACTCGTAATACATCCACGCGATAAAACAATTTAACATGGTAATGACAAAGAATAAGCTTCACAAATGGATCGGTTCAACTGCGGAAACCCGGAAATTGAAAAGGCCATTTCAACATGGCTCATCGTCAAAAGAGTTAGTGGGTTTGATAATCTCTTTTCATTAACACGATTCTTCCCACGTGCGAAAAATAAATTTTTATGTTAAGTGCCCTCAATAATCAAGCGAAACACTTTACGGCTAGTTAGGCAATGGTAGATTTTATTGTAATTTGGACATCTTATTACGTGTGTTAAGAATTGTTGACTATTCTTGGGGCGTCTTTGAATTGAGACTCCACTTTCAAAGCCCATGCGGCCGCATTAGAAATCTAACTACGAAAATGTATAAGGTTGCCGACGCGGTTAAGTCTGTGTTAACAAGGGTTAGACTCAGGATAAAGGAAATGTAATAAAAGTTAAGACAAAAGACTTCGAGTCACCGCATATAATATTACAAAAGCAACAGGTGGGAGAGTGTATGTCAAAGATTATCTTTTTCTTAGGCGATCGAGGCAGAATTCTCTTTTTGACGAGAATAAAAAACAAGAAAAAAATATTTTTCGCTTTGTACATACCCCAGCATAATACAGAATCTATAGCTAAGTCCTATTCAATGTTTGTAGGCCGTTCTAGGCTGTCAAAGAGTTTAGGTGGAAAAACAGACATTGCCTTATTTCAGAATGAGCTTTTTGTTTTAGTCCCCATTACGGCTGACTTACAGCCAGTCTATACTTTGCGGCCTTTGAAATTTGAAAGCGGGATCGGATGAAAGGATTTTTTTTACGACGGACATCTGATGGTGAATAATCAACTTGTTCACTATGAAACACTTGATTTATCACTACTCAGTAAAGATAATTCAATCAGCGCAAAAATCAGTAACATTGAAGAACCACGACAGCTTGGCAGTTTAACAAGGTGACAAAATGAATCAAAAATAAGAAGCGTTTAAATTTCCGTTAAGATAAATGGATTAATACTTTTGAGACATGTAATATTCGAGGAGAAAATTACATTTCCATAAGAAAGGAAGGATACGTTGTGTCACAGTTCCGTTATAAGAGGACAAAAAGTTACTTAGTTTGCGGCCTTACACCTACACCTCTATTTCAGAGACAAATGAATGGCACCTACTTCTTACTCACAAATACTAAATGTAAGATATAAACTGACGAATGAAAGATATCGTGAATCTCCTGATGAATTCGATTGTCTGCCTTATTCCGGAATATAAATGATTACTAAAGTTAATTGATTAGCTTAGCCACAATATTTTGAGCAGCTATTCTTTTGGATCGTATACACTTAGCTCCTGAAATTGAAGGAAAAACCTCGAAAGATTAAACTGGTGGAACAAGGACGCCATAATATACTATAGAGAATTGAGGACGGTTTCGATGAGAGTTTGACATAGATCACAAAGGACAAAGCTCTGCAGTACTGAAAAAAATAAAAAATCAACAAAGGAGTTATAGCAGTTCTTAAAACGTAACCCAAAATAATAGCTCGGCCACAAATAAGGTCACATTTATCCTACTGAATAATTTGATGGATATGTGTCAATTCGCAAATGGAATTGAAATATCCGTTAGGTTGGAAACTTTGAGGTCTTTGAGGCCACAAAAGGCAAAACTCAATTGACGGGTGTCTGGCAGAGTATTTGGGTTTTTCCTTTGTGTAAGTGCATAGATGACTGAGGTGATAGTGACTTAGAATGCTAATTAGAATGAACTGTTGACAAATTATATCTTGTGGATACATTTCGTCGCCTCGCGTTCGACGGGTGCGAGACTCCGCGTCAAGGTCTCGGCCGAGTGTCAATCGATAGTCGACCGCCAGCTTATACCCATTTGCTTTAGCCTCGAGGTGTCAGTGTCGATGACGGAGTCTCCTTGTGTTTATTATCGGTTACGTACATGTATGGGTCAATTGTAAAATCTCAGCTTAAGTGCTATTCAAACCATATCTTTTAACAAATTCACCGGTGACTGCTCATGAGGGATCATGCTCGCCATGAAGAAAATGTCTGGGATAATCCTTCAATGGATGGAAAAGAGGGGACCCCATAGAAAGTGCCTGTTGATAACGACTGCATGGCTTTTCTAGCTAGAGTTCCAGGGTCTACGCAAGTATTGCCAAATAATTATTCGAACAGAAGTTAAAACAATTTATTGCTAATACCAGGATCAACTTCTTTGTTGTCTTTTTTTATAAATAAATTTCATATATACAGTTATTTTCACATGGAAAAGATTAAGTGCCATGCTATTTTTCAAGCAGTGTTGTTGTCAGTGGTTGAATTGGACCGATATATCGACAAAGTTTATTTGGGGTGCGTTCGATTGACCTGTAATTCCGGAATAAGAATACGCAAATGTTTTGTGACAAATCTCTTCTACCGTGAAAATATTTGGACCACTTGAATGTTACATCAGAATATTTTATTTCAAGCAGATACCTAGATTTTGCAATGCAATGAACGCCAAAACATTTAAAGTGATTTCTAGAGTTTATTTTATTTGTTCTTTTCTGGAATAAGGTTGATCGAACACCCCTTAAATTGGGGATTGTATCGGTGTACTGTCAATCGAATTCCGACTTTCCTTTTTCCCTCAGTCTATTTCTAAAAGAAAGTTTTGAGGTGACTTCCCTGATAGCAGACACCTATTTTCCCCAGTATTGTCCCAAGCAAGCAAGGAACGGGGTGACTGAAGCAAAGCTTCAGACAAACTTGAAGTCCATTATCTCCCTAATATTCTTGATTTTATGTTCCTTATGTTTCAGTTGCTTTGAACTTTTAATCCTTTGTAGTATTTGCCGGCGTTTCTTTTCTGCCCCTTGTTGTGGGTTTTGTGGGTTAAGAACTTGGCGAATAAGCAAAAACCAAGAAATCCTCAATTTGAAAATGACGCCAAGAGAATGAATTCTATTAGTAAATGACAAGAGTTTTTCCATGTTGCACTTAGGGCATGTTTACATAGAGGTGGGAGACCCCAGGCAGGTGAGGTAACCCGCTTAGGTGGGGTAACCCACCTGTCCATATAATCTCTCATTTTAATTTGATCACGTTTACGTGATAGGTGGGGTGACCTGTCAAGGCGGGTATCCCGGTCTGCAAGCCCGGTTTCAAGGTAGGGTAACCCGCCGAGCCGGGGTCAGATTCATGATACATCAAATTCGCGCAAAATTCACTTTGGCGGTGGCTTTGCATCATTATTAAAGGTAATAATAGAGAGAAACATCACTGAAGGTTTCAGCAAGAGCAGCGAGGAATGTAGAAGAGCATTGATCGCCAAAACACGTGGTTTGCCAGCATTTTTCTTGTTTACGTGCTTAGCGACCATTCAATAAACTTGAGAAAGTGCACCCCGGGATGGCGGGGTTGTAACACTGCATATAAAGGAGGGTTATTTTTTTACGCCACCTTAGGTGGTTACCTCACCTACCTAGGGTCCCCCACCTCCATGTAAACAGGCCCTTACTCTCTCGTAATGAAAAAGAGGCTGGGCATCTCGAAAATGGGACATTCATTGTTACTGGATAATTGTTAAAGTGAATAAAAGATAAAAGTTAAATTTAATTTTGGATATATATTTCTTACCTTTATTGTTAAGGCAATAATGGAAGATAAGCGAAAGCTAGGTCGGCCCAGCTGACTTCCTTTCTCTGATCATTCTCGGAGACGCAAGAGCAACTGATGAACAAAGTATTTACGGAAAAAGTGGATGGGAGGTAAACATGAATGCGATAATTATGCTTCACGAACTGGTATGACAACGGAGCATAGTCCCGTGTTAAACGACGCGTCAGACTTCTATTTTGCAGAGTACCAGGCCTTCCTTAGTGGCTAGGGGATAGGAGCCTCATTCTTAAGCTTAATTCGCATGTTGCGGACCCAGTGCCAGTCAACTAAATCCGCTCTCCTCGTCCATTAGCATTAGGTTCAGCATATGTGAAGTTAGACTTCAGCGTATAAGTGACCTCCTTTTTTTCTAAACGAGCCTTACAGTAATTTTACTTATTGATTGCGCCTGGAACTTCCGACAACTTTCTGACAGGTTCCAAACATCTTTATTACAACTGGTCTCAACACCGCCAAGAATTTGAATTTGAATGAGTCGACGTAGATGTATGATGGCCATGGATAGAAGAACAGCTGAATAGAACTTTTGAACTTAAAAATAACATTACCGACGAAGAAAATAGCAGACAACTAAATAATGCCTATAGCTTTATTCTCTATTTTACGTACTTGCAGTCACTCAAAACGACCACTTTGTCCTGTTATGGAGCCCTTGTAAGTAAAGTCTTACTGAAATCTCTTAAGAACTAAGTATTAAATTTACAACATATTAACTGAACCAAAAATAAAATATACATATACACCAGTCGCCCTAACTCCGTCGATAAGTTATTGCTTTCTTATTAAGAAATAAAAGTATCGTGAGACCATTACCAAACCACCGCCAGAAGGTGAAAAAGAAGTAAAACCTAAAGAGGTGATATTAACTTTGGATTATAACACTAATTACACTTTAGTATAATATATACGGTGGTTGGTAAAGGAACTATGTTTCTTGTATGATTGTTAGATTTTAAGCTTTCTCTCAGCGGCTCATTTTGTTAATCTAATTCGCGTTAGAACACACGGTCCATTAATTAACATTTGAACCACGTTAGCTCAAAAATGAGAAAATGGAACACTAAAAGTTTGTGACTTTTGTGGCTGTTAGTGCGATCTTTTTGTTAAATCTTGTCGGTCGGAACAACACCAAATCTCTTTATTCTTCTTTGACTGACTTAACTGATCGTCGTCCTAATCTTTTCTGGCAGCATGTCGCAGGACACATACTTGGACATGCTGGAAGGCGTCCACAGGGTGGTGGGCAAGGCATAGGTGGTGCCATGGGAGGAACCATTGGAAGTGGTTGCTGCTGAGGAACCTGGATCTGTATGGCAGGTAGTTTGATTGTCATCGGCTTTGGTGGTTTTGGCTTGACCGGTTTAGCACATGGGTTTGCTGGTGTAATACCACACGGCATCGGCATTGGCATTGGCATCGGTGGTGGCATCGGCATTGGCTGTGGCATGGGCATTGGCATGGGCATGGGCATGGGCATAGGCATAGGCATTGGTGGTGCGCACGGATTTGAAGGTGTTTGAGTGCATCCTGGTTTGGGAGCTGTGCTTTTAGACTTGGTGCTCCCTGCTTTTGGGGGAGAGAGAGGTGGGCAGGGCGGTGTGAACATCCCACCACAAGGTGGTGCAATGGGCATGGGAGGTGGTGGCATTGGAACAGGAGGCGGTGGTGGAAGCATCATCATGCTGCAAGGTGGATAGGTGCAGCCTTGAAGGTTAACCATTTTTGGTGCCGCCACTTTGCCCGCAGGTTTCTTTGGTTGAGGTTTTTTAGGTGGTGGAGGTGGTGCAGGTGGTGAGCATGGGTTGAAAGGAGTTTGAACACAGGGTGGCGCCATCTGTTGAAGGAGTAAAACAAAAATCACAAAACCACAAATATAATTAGATATGGCGACAAATTACGAGAAAAGACTGTGTTTTGAGTCCTATCTTCGACATCGGGCAGTAATATTAAGTGGTTAAATTAGCTTATAACGGAAATTAAGAGAAAACACTGCTTTTGAGTCCTATCTATTTTCGATATCTGACGGTAATATTGAGGGGTTACCTTACGACGAAAATTATAATTGTTACTTGCCTGTTGCATCGGGTACTGGGGCATCATCATAGGCTGCGGTGGTGGAGGTGGTGGCATCATCATTGGCGGGCACGGTGGCTGAGCACACGGATTAAATCCTCCATATCCACCAGCTTGAGGCATTGGAAGGACAGCACGGGAAACTGGTTTTGCTGATACCATTTTTGGCATGTTACTTCTGTATGGGCGAAGAGGATACCTGTAAGTGACAGGCCGTCGGATAAACCTGTTGACTGCAGGGGGCTTGGCAAGCACGTTTGACCTACACCAGTTGTTAGCTAGAGTTGGAATACAAGGTGAGGGAGCTGGAAATTGAGGATATGCGGGTGCTGGAAAAGGATAAAGCGATGTAGTTGCACAGGCTCCGGTAGCTGGATTACACTTTGAAGCCGGTCGTTTGGCGTTAACCTTTGACTGTCGAGGTTGTGGAGTTGGTGCTGCAGCTTGGGGTGGTGGACATGGATTCAGTGGAGTAGGTACACAGGGCGGAGTGCCATAGAGGGGTGCTGGGGCAGGAGCTGCCGAGTAGCAGCAGCTGGGTGCACAACTCGAGATACAGGAGGTGGAGCAGATAGGAGGACAGGTCACGCTGCTCACAGTACCTAAAAAAACGCACACGTTTTCGTAATATATTGTGTAAGTACACTGTAAACTTTGAGCATTTTAACTTTTATCAATCGTAACTTTAAAGCAAACTTTGTGACTGTAAATGATTGACGGCAGAAAATTCGAGAAATAAGTCAAAAACTTAATGAAGTGTGTAGAAATAAATTGAGAGATTATCCGTCCTTGTTCTTACAATGCGGTGTATTGTTTTTAAGTTAATTTTGAATAGCTAGCGTAACCAATTAAAAGACAACTTCACTCTGTCTTTCAGTTTTCTTACTTCGTGGATTTCGTATGTAGTTAGTTAACATTATTCTTTAATTTATTGGAGAAAGTGTTGGAACATTTCTTTACGTCTCGAGCTTTGCGCTACTTCAGGTCGTGTTTTCTAGGTTGACCACTTTGGAGCAAGATTTCAGTTCCATTGGTAAATGTCATAGCTTTGTCGGTTTTTGTTGGTCTTGAGTTTCATTCAGTTTGTTGCAACTTTTATTTTGGTCACCGTCACACTGTGTCTTGCTGCAAAAAGGAAATTGGCCGATTTAATTTCAGTGCTTGTTATTCTGCCAAATGCCATCAATAGTCAGTATTTTCTATGCAGCAAATCAGAACAAGTGCCCCGAACATTCGATCCTTGCATCACCGTACCTGGAGGTGCAACACTGATTGACTTCAGTTTTATCGCTTCATTCATTGGTGCTGGCAGCTTGTTGCCTTTAGCTTTGAGGTACTCTTGGAGCGCTGCAGTTGGATCCAGGGGTAGGCCACTTGGTCCAAAGGTCATAGCAAATTTAACTGTAACTTTTGCCTTGGGCCTAAGTAAAGCATTTAGGTTCTGTTAAGCGAATGCCCTTAAATCTTTAAGCAAAACAGAAGAAACTCCTGTCATCAAAATATTTTCATTACTGACTGCTGTTAAATTTTGTTATCTTGGTACTTAAGTTCCTGTGGATTAGCTGAAATCCTTTGCCCAATTTATTGAGCTTGATTTGAGACTAGGAAGTGAAAGGTGACAAAATCATTTTTTATGGGGGAAGTTACAACAGCTACAAAATTTTCAGGACCCTCTAGGTTTCAAAGAAAGCTGGTATTGCCTAATTCGGGATTTGGTTCAGGGACTCATTAGCTAGAACCATTAAAAATTAATGTGCCACTTGGAACTGCAAAATTAGTTTGACTGGCATCAGTTCATACTTTGTGGTAGGAACTTTAGTCGTTGGCTTGGCTGGAGTAGGCTTAGGAGACGCTCCACCACTCGGTTTTGGTTTCGGAGGGGTTGTTGGTGCTGGTGTGACCTTAATGGCCGTAACTTGACGCTTTCCAAGGTAGCTGTAAGCTTGGTAAGGCTGAACAGCAGGCTGTGGTGGTAGACCGTTGCTGAAAACATGAGTACAGTTCATCGGTGAGTATGGTGATAAGACTATCTTATACTTAAGATGAATATATATTCTCTCGCGTTAGCGCAAAAATATGTATTAACCTGCAGGGTTAAAAAGCAGTTTGTATATTCTTTATATTGTTGATTGTTTCGCGGTAAAACTCATTTTGCGATTAATTCAATTTTCCATATATATAGACATGTGTCAGGTTCTTACTGTCAGATGGAATGCTAATGTGAAACCAACCCCATACAAAACTTTAGCAGTTTTGGGCGTTACGTTTTTATTGTATTTGTAGACGGATTTTATGTTTTTGAGGTGATTTAATAAAATGTAAGAAAATTTTCGTTATGCAAAAGGGTTAGTTCCTAACCAACCTGACAGATTGAATAGCAGCACTCTTAAAAGTTGTTACTCCTGCTTTCTTGTATACTTCTTGTATCTAAATAATAAATAAAGAAGAAATATTACTCCTTATAACCCTACAATACCATCCGTCTTTAAATCCTCTGAATCATTTATACCTAAGATAATAACATCCTTACGCTTTCGTAAAGAAGTCACCCCTCTCTCAAAAAGCTACCCATATTTGTTCGCCTCTACCCCTGCGAACAGCGGCTTTAGTCATCTACAGGAAAACTTCAATTAAATCTTTCTACCTACCGCCTTTTGAAACTTTGCTGATAGTTGTTGATAAGCGAGAGAACCACTGTTACTAAAATCGTTTAGCCATACCATGGATTCCACTACAAACTCGACGATGAAGGTTATGTCACCTGGAATTAATTTGGCAGAAAAAAAAGTTACAAGAAAACGGTTGATCAGGGGACTGCCGATGGAACAACATGACCACCCTGTAGTTGAAAAAGTGAGAATTAAGGCGATTTGCGAGTTCCTCTTAGCCTCCGTTGAAAAGGAGGGTAAGCGAAAGTCTTTGATGAAAAAAAATAGTTATAAATAATATTTATTCAGCGCTAGCAGAAATCATTTTCTTTATCCTCTTGTTTCTGATAATATATATGCACGTAAGGTTGTTTGTGGAATTTTCTTACCCTCTAGTGGCTTTTTGCACACATAGTTGCTGGGTTTAGTACAGGGATAGTCAGCCATTGTTCCGTATTTAGCATCCTTGTTGAAGCCAACGCAGTTTTCATTCTTGCCAGTAGGCTGTCCGTTTTCCCAGTCCATAAATCTTATTTGCGATCCATCAACGGCCATGTACATACTTTCCGCAAGGCGATCATTAAAGCCGAGCCAGCTGAAACCTTTCTTGCCTTTTAAAAGGCCCTGCTTGAAAAAATCATTTTCTCCTCTGCTAGCAATTGCTGGGAGAACTGCGAATTCCTTGAGGCATGCTGCGTGTGCGTTCGACCAGGTTTGTTTGACGGTGTGGAACTTGTAGCAAGTGCCACCATAGTCAGTGAATCCAGTAGAGCATTTAGCTGCAGATAGGCATTGAAGTAGCTTATTCAATTATCAATGAACTAATTAACTAATTAAAAAATGAATAAATTAATTAGTCAATCAATAATCGGTCAATCAATCAAATATCAGTTTATCAAACGATCCATCAGATTAACAGTAGGTTGTTGTTTTAGAAGCCGTTGTGTCAAGCAAGAGTTTTATTCTTTGACCGATTACCCTATACCTTGTCATTACGCATTAAAATTTTTGAGCGTTGGTTTTCACATGACGTCACTAAAGTCAAACTACAAAACTGTCGATCCTACTGCGATTTTACTTTCGTGATGTATTAGAGAACTGAAAACTAATGTTCATACAAATTTACGCTTCAAAAGGGTTCTTGGTTGACGCGGCTTTTACATGACGGCCGAAAGAGCTGTAATGTAGGTTAAAAAAGTGACTTATTTCGGAGAATTTTGCTATTTAAACGGTTAATGCATTAGAAAAAGTACGACTTTAATGTTTATGAGTTCCTCGAGTGATAAATTCACGCTTTTGAAGCAAAACTCGGTAACAGATATTTCTGTTGGTTTCCGTCCGCCATGTTGGTGCCCATCTAGGCGGGTACCAGCATGGCGTCTTCATACAAATTCCTATAAATTTGGGTGTAACATTTGTTCGGATATCTCGTGTACGAAATATTCCTTTGACCAGAATCTTGGCGAGGGTCTTTGTATATTTGCCTTCTTTCATTTCCCAGATTCTGGCCTTAAACTATTGAACGGTTTTGATTTTTATTTTGATGTATTTTAAATGGCGTGACTCTGAAAACCAGCAATAGATCGAATTACACATACAGATGAGAATTTTCAGTTTCACATTTAAGACTCGCCACTAATCGATTAAATGTCAGTGCGCTGGTACTAAATTATTCACAAAATAAGTGCATCTCAAACAGACAAATCAGTGATGAGGTTATTTAGATGTGTCTCTTGAACAATATCTAAGTGGTAGTTTTGTTGGAGGAGGAAGTGTCACCTGAATAATTATATTAACGACAATGATAATGCAAAGCTAATAATTATCATAATAATAATGTAACAAACAGATATTCACAGTAAGAATTTACCTCCAGCTACGGATGTAAACAGATCTGAAAAAACAAAAAGTAAATTTAATCACTTGCTTGGATAGAAAATGTCTAGTTGTCCAGTGCTACTACGCTAGTACTGGCTTTAAACCTGTGTATAAACATTTGACGTTTCAAATCACAGACTCGTTGTATCGAAGTTACGCAACGAGCTCTTGGCTCGGGCAAAGCAGCGGCGTAGCCAGCCCATAGACGTGTAGGCCCGGGCCTACAAGTTTTTCGTTTGATCGCTCTGCCACTTGTAATAAATTATGCGGTTGGGGTGAGCTAAAAAGCTTAAGAGCTCAAAGTGTTGGTGAGGTCAGTGCGTACTAGTCATTCGGGCAATTTTCAGGAATGTGGAAATGAAAAGCAGCCAGGCCTACAACTAGACGAAAAGCTGGCCCCAGGGTAAACTCTTTTCTTCTATAAACGTTTGCTGAAGTTGACTCGGCTGGTAGGGTCACCTTCTTTCCCCGGGCAACTTTTCCCTTTAAACGGAGCCTTTGTTAAAGATTTTAAGTTCTTTTGCTCATTGCTTACCTGAGTATCCTTTTACATTTTTCTTCAACTTTGAAGCTTCAGGTGCAGGGTCCAGTAACACAGTCACAAAGTATCTTCCTGATGGGCCTTTCTTGACTGCTATTCCGCCATGAGTGGCTGCTTTGTAAACGGCAGTGACAAAAAATCTGCTTGTGTCCTTCATTGCTGGTTTTGACCAATCGTAATTTTGCATTTGCAGTAGCCAGAAGGATATGCATTCTGTAGGCACGGAGTTTGAGCTCGTCATTTTTATACACTGCAGTTGTCCGTGTTTGATACTGGCATCCTTCTTTACTACTCCTTTTCTCTGCATTTTGTCGTTCGCGACTTTGGCTCCAATATCAAGTGTCGGTGAGCGGATGAGAGGGTTTGCACCGAACAAAAGACGTGCTCGATTAAGTGCTTGAAAACACTTGTTTGCCACTTGGTCTGTAAAGAAACAATGTGATTATAAACTCTTGTTCCAAAACGGAGTGCAAGCAGCCTGTTTATTTTTTCCTTTCAAAGTTACTTGATTAATACGCGTATAATGAACAAAAACGGGCCGCAAGAGGCAAGGCCCCGTACTACAAACAGTGAGGGTGTAAGTCCTCGAAGAAAAAGTCGCTTTTCCGTTACCTTTTTTTTGCAAACGTGCTCACTTAAATAAGAACTGTTTTTCAACGGATATTAGGAGAAAAGGCGAGCTTCAACAAGCCTAGTTTAAAAATGCAAGTGTGCGTTTTGCAACCATTTCTGTCTATTGTTCTCCTCATTGTTAAATTGACAACTATTTTTCATGAATTGTACTCTTATCGACCATAGCTCTCCACCCAATCAGAGGACAAGAAATCACTCATTATTGTAAATTATTCATTTAACTTCTTTTAACCACGCATAGAAACTATCGTAACGAACTGACCAGTCGACAGTGGAGGCGCACTGGATTTTGATTTTGATGACTTTGCTTTCGCCGCTGGCTGCACATTCAGAGGGCTCTCATCCATGTCCTCGTCGTCATTATCGTCATCATCATCAGTGAGCCAATCATTGTTGTTTTGAGACTTGGAATCAGAGTATGATGCTGGAGCTGCTTCGTCACTGCTGTCAGTAAAAGCTGTAATTAAACGCACGCTGTCAGTTGTTGTTACGGCAACATTTTGTTATTGAGATACCTCACTTGTCTAATACAGGCTTGATAATATTCTTTGAGACCTTGCGCTGTCCATCTCCCAAGAAGCCATTGACGGCGGAAATAACACCATGTCCTCTAGAAATGTATTCACGGTGTCACCCGTTCTCAAACTGTCCTCATTACTATTTTCTATGCTTGGCTATAGGAAAGAGGATTTTAAGCTGTTTTAAATCCAACCTTACTCTATTAAGTACTACGTAAGACTTAACCTTGCAAGACATCAACACGACACCGACAGAACCCCCAAAAAATCGGGGTTGTAGCCGTCGACAGCTGTTTCGCCATTATTGTGGCCCGTCAGGACAGCGTAACAACAGACAGAACAGAGAAGCTCTCCTGAAAAAATACCTTCTCACTCTGTTTTAAGCCCTAACATTGAACCTCAACAACCACACCATATCACGTGTCTCCGAAGAGCAGGAGTCCAAGTTTCGCGTTGATGTCTCTCAAAGAATATATTTTTGGATGGCCAAAACCAACCTCAAAAACAAGGGAAAAACCATGCCAAATTTACAGCATATCTGTTCTATAAAATAGGTCTATGTTTGGCTTCAAACTTTCTAAAAAAAGGTCCATCTCCTGAGAATGAGTTCCTACTTACTGAAGGACAGATAAGAAATGTCTTTAGTAGAGAGAAACCTATGTGTCTTCTTATATTTTAGGTTTAGTTACTGTAAAAAAATAGTTGTACATACCGTCTGAAAGAGAGGACGACGTCGTAGGAGTGATGTGGTCGTTATCTATTAATTCGTTTAAAGAATCATTATAAAAGAAATTGATAAGAGGAATGACAGCAAATGTAAATACGGCTAGAGAAAACAGGTGAAAAGTGAAATTTTAAATCTTTGTTGGTAAGCCTCCGTTAGGGCTGAGGCTAGCTTAATTTTATTATGCCACTACTTAACAGAGTTCAGTCTTTTAATTTTTCCATCATGATAACCCACCAGCAATAAGTTAATATATAAGAAAAAACGTAATTAATTTGTCCGCTAGTCAAGAAAAGGACAACTCAGTTTCAACAGTAATCAGAAGAATGTATAATCAGATTGCTCCTTTATTTACAAAGTTATAAGATAAGCTGTGTGCAACGAAAACAAGGTTAAGTTAAATATAACGTAGGGAAGTACGAATTCTATTACGCACATACCCCTTTTACGATAATCATGTAATAACTATGCCACCTCTCACCTCTAGCTCGTACAAGGAGACAAAATGCTAAAAGAGAAATCCCTAACAGTCCCCTCATATCACGTGGCTAGACGTCCAAACCTGTGGTAATGAAAACAAGTGAATCAGTAGCTAAGTTCATGATTCTTTTCCACGAAAAAGTGAAAGAAAAAAATGCCTTTTATATCAACCACTGATAGAGGACTTGATTATTATGGTAATAAACAGAATGGAAAACATCATCGATAAAATTGAACCATTTACAGATTTGACTTAATGCGGGTAAAGAAAAAAAATGACCTCGACAATTCGATGTTTGTTTTGGAACTTCTTCGAAAGACTTCGCGGAAGTGATTTTATGAATGAATACTTCCTCTTTACTTTAGGATACGAGAACTGGGATAAAAAACGTTCATCAAAGCAGAAATAAATATTAAGACTTAACTCGATTTACCTTTCCTTTGATCAACAAATGAAAGTATAATAGATTAAGAAAGATTCTAAACTTTAGCAAGGATGGAGGTGTACTGAGACGTGAAAGTTAACAAAAGTGACCACACTGTGGTGTTCTACTAAATGGACATGTTTTTACACCAGTCCACCGAATTAGTCATAGATCCGTCTTCTTTCATTTTAGAGAAATACACGGATAAAACACATTGTTTTAGATAATCCATAACATAAAAAAGAAAAAAAACAAAAAGGAAAGACATCCTATGGCTGACAGTCCACAACGGGCTTACAGCATTTAGGCTGTCTTTTGCGTTGAAGAGAATACTTTTGACGTACTACTGCTATCAAAAGGTTGACCGAAATATGAACATTTATAAAAATACTTTAAAATTCCATTTCACCTCGTTTCTTGACAAGTTCTTCTTGATCAAAGAGGGCAGTCCCTATAATCTAAGAAGACAGGTCATTTGGTATTACATATTGCACGGATCATTTCAGATATAAGCATGAGATTTATAAACACGGCAGGTGGTGCTAACATCAAGTATTTTTCTAGGTCATGTCGTATACAACCTTTATCACAGCAGTGTATTTGAACATAATGCAACGAATGCACAGATCTGTTGCAAGAGTTGACAAAAACGAAGTTTTACCTATACGATTTTAAGTCGATAGGAAATATACACGTTGCTGTATTAGCAGATAAAATGTGTTATCTCATGTAGATATATTACCATATCATTACGGAATGTTTATACATAATATTAATTGGTATTCTATCTTGGGGTAGATTGTTGAAACCCTGATTAATCTCCTGTAGTCTCTCAAATATATAGATAGCGATCTTAGTTGTTAAAAGGACGGTGTCAATACTATACTCCTTACCGTCGACCATATGGTCAAACAAATACACCAGCAGCATCGCCATTACTTACTTGAACAACAAGATAGATTCGACGTAGAAAACGTCAAAAAGCATTAAGAAACGAAAAGAGGTCTATGGCGAAAGCAAAACAGTCTCACATTTACAGAAGAAATTAACGCTCAGCTATTGCAACTAAGACCCTGCTCTACCTTGACTAAAAAAAACTGGAACTGAAATTTAGCGTACCATTGCAAGACATTTTGGTAGTGTTTCTACTGTAAACATGGAAGATATATTATAACAACGAATGCTCTTTTACGTACCTGTACGATAAAGTTTGTTATTCGGAGCCAATCTTACAAAAAAAGTCTTTTTGTTATTCAAGAACCATCTATTAGTGCATGCCCCAACAGAACAGTCCCCTTGTCTGGTTTGGGTGATTCAACTCTTAACGTTTGAATATTTTCAGTCATAAGTAACCCATATGTTTTCACCTTTAACAACCAACAGAAACATAGCATTGCCGATTGTTTTGTAGATCTCTTTTAACACAAGCAAAAACAAAGCTCATCTGAACAGGTAATTGTGAAAGGAGAATAAGGGTGACACTGTGGAGAGAACGGATAAGTAAACCGTTGTTTAATGTTCATGCTTTAATGCAATGTTAAAAGGTTAATAATCGTGTTCTTTTTACAAGTTCTTTGCGAAAAAGTCACACTTTTAAAGCTATTAGTATTTGTTTGTGTAACATTTCACTTCAGTAACGTCACGAGGTTTGTTTTGTAGACACAAGTATCAAAGACAATCTCTCAAATCGGTGACCTCGATGTTATTAAATTAATATAAAATTTACGGCTGGTTTTCAGTCAAGTTTTACTCATAAAAATTGTCATTTGGGAGGTATTATGTCGGAGACTCCTTTGTTTCTATATATCTAGAGCAAAGGGAATCTGATTTAACATTAAGAGAGGACCCATGGATTTTTTTTTAATAAAGACGTCTGATAAAAGAATTATAAATTACGAGGTAGTTTATACAAAAGAATCAAAGCAACGATTTTCATGTGTTTTATTAACACAGGCAAACTGTATATTCTGAAGTATTATGTCGGCGGGAAAAATTGGTTATCATTTGATTAAGATGATATCATAAGGTTTTCTTAATGCAGTCCTCTAATGCTAAGAGAAAAAGTGGATCTTAGACGACGATGACGTATATTACATAAAATCACTGAGCTGAATAAAAACATCTATTTACTTGGTTTATTTTCAGAAACATTTTGAGTAGCACTTATTGATTTCCATAATTTTGCGGCCTGGCTTACCATCCTAATAGCAACTACGACAGGAATGAGGTTTTAAGGCATGTTGGAAGCTCTTACCTTCTTACGCTCGAAGGCACGCAGTTTTGGAGCCAAAAAAGAAAAGACAGGGAGGTCCCAATTTCTGATTCTCAGGAAGACATATGGCTTTTTCTAACCGCCTTGTTCCATTCTCTCTGAAATTGTGGGCCCATATACTTTCATTATTGTAGGAGAGAGCCCAAAAGATGAACAAATTTCACGAGCACCTGGTGTTTAAAGTAAAGCGTGAGAGCTTGCGGATGATTTAAAGCAATGGCCGAGTCACTGAAGCAATGGTAACTGAAAGAGATACAGTCAGTCGATCGTTTTACTTGCTATTTTTGTTGCTTAATAAACTGTGAGTCGTGGAAGAACAATAACTACAACTATAGATAACTTGTTTTGGGAGACTGAGTCTCAATCATACTTAGCTTCCCGAGATGGTGAAGCGAAACAATCAACAAAGGGCCTGCGGAGAATCAGCCGTCAGCCCTGAGTAACAAATCGAACAGATAAGAGCAAAAAATCAATGAAACTTAATCCGAGCACAACTTTTGATTGACTTCGAACGCAGTCGGGTCAGGCTGGCCCGCTTTTCAAGGCTAAGTAAGCTCATGATCATAACATTTTTGTTGTGTTTATATGAGAAGGTGGAATGCCTTGGTTTGCCGAAATTCCGGTTGCTCGAGCCGAGATCTTGGCAAGCGAACCAGCCCACAACAAAAACTGTAAGAGAAAACTAGGCATGAGCTGAGCCAATCCGGTAAAGCGGGCCATCCCGGCTAAAAATTCCACGACCCTTCAGATAAAAAAAAACCTACAGCTTCACACCTTGCTATGACCATGCACTTAATATGAAATTCTGTTCACGTCCATCCGTTAAATCAGTTTAGCAAGACTTTGGCTTTCTTCTCTTCATCATGTTATTGAAAAAGAACGCTTGGATTCCACGAGAACTCTCATGTTATTAGACAGAACTTATTAGATTAATGTCAGAACCCAATCAAACCTTGTCGGTGCTTGCATAAACTTGGAACAAAACATTGTTCCAATTGGGGCTTTACTGAGAATTTGATCATTGTTCAACCCAAAAACAAAATGGACCAAGTCTTTTAACCCGCACCTCTCCTACTTCCGGGGTGCACAATCTCACTAAAACAATGAGTGTCTAAAAATTGAATACAGTAATTGACAACATATGACGCAGGATGTATATGTAGAAAATTGCTATGTTTATTTCATTGATCACTACAGAGAGAAACATTACTACACGCAAATTTAAAGCGAAGCAAACGACTTCTCTGTTCTAAATTACGTTACATAGGCTAATTTTCGTCGTGCTTCTACCGCGTGTTCAAAGAAAATAGTTCTTAAACTGAATGAGACTCTAAATTTAAAGTCTGAGACCACGTTGCTCTTTACAGTGCTAGGTTCAAGGCAGAATGACACTAGCAAGACCCTTGAAAATGGTCCTTACAATTTATCTACCGTCACTTCTGTTACTTCCATGTTGTTGCTTCGCCTCCCCCATTCCCCACAAGAACAACAACAAACTTATGCTGTCTAATTGAACAGTGGAATCTCGATTTCAACGACCTTACAGTTTATTCTAATCAAAACTGAATTTCCTTGCGAAGCAAACACTTAAATGCCACATTGTTTGTTTTGCTAATCCCCAGAAATATTTTGATTCAATCTCTTTTTCCGTAGGTGGTTCGAATAATCAGGTTTCCACTGTTGGTTTTAATTAAAGATCAAGCTATCCGTTTTTAGGTTTCTTAATTTTCAGAATCTTTTGTTTTCTCTTTTTTAGTTTGGGTTTTTCCTTTTGGCTTTTCGTTTTAGGTTTATATTGATTTGCACTTTTCCTTTTGCAACAAGACGCTGAACAGTACGGAGGACAAAAGGGGCCTGGTCGGAGCACGCAAGAAATTGGACAGTTGCGTGCTTGAGCTTGATATGGGAAGGCAGGCAAAAGAGACGGAGGTGCTGGAGCAGGATAATGTAAAGAAATTTCAGGAAGCTCGACAACAAATGACTGTGAAGCAGCTGAAGCTTGTTGTGGTACATTTAAATTGGAAAAGGGTGAGGCAAAATCCCTTATTGGTTGTTGTAATTGAAGGGGTTGGAGAGGCTTTAATTTAGAAAATACATTCAAAGTCTTAGGGGATACAAAACCTTGTGGCCTAAGGGGCTGAACAGGTGATCGTACAGGGTAACATGGTCTAGATACAGTTGGAATGCATGGAGTAGCGGCTGGATACGCAGTTCCTGAACGGGCAGGGCTAGATTTGATGTAAACACTTCCTTGCAGTTGCAACGGTCTCGTTAAAAGTATAGGTTTATTCTCTGCTGCTTTCGGTGCAGTTTTAGTGGGTTTAGTTTTTGGCTTAACGACATTGGTAAGGCACGGATTCGCTAAAGAAGGGATGCAGGGATTAACCACTTGAAAAGGCCTTTGCGCCATTGATAAAGGGGGAATGGGAACACATCGATTATATGGAGATGGAATACATGGATAAGACATCTGAGGTGCTACTGGAGGTGGTGGTGGTGGTGGTGGTGGTGGTGGTATGGCTGGCGCTTGTTTGGGAAAAACAAATAAAGAGCCCTGTAATGAAATAGGTCCTTTAGCAGGAATGGGCTTTGAATTAGAATTTGGCTGCTTTGGCTTGTCATTCACAGCTTTCTTAATTGCGGTTGCATAGCGAATGGGAGGCACCGGAACTATTCCGACGGGTCTTTGCATCATTTGAGGCCATATAGGGTTAGCGTAAAAAGGAAATTGTGGTTTTAAGCCAAATGGCTGAGGTTGATATTGCCTTTGCTGCATTGGTAAAAATGATGGAAACATTGTTGGCGGGGCGAAGGGTGCATAAGTTACAAATGAAGGCCGAGGATAGGATAGTACGCCATAAGGGTAGGGGTACGCTGCCATAATCGGTTTGGGCATATATGCTCGAGACTTTCCCTTCCTATGTAAGGCTTTGGATAACTTTCTTGCCTTTACTTTGGGTGGGCAAGGATAATAAGGACGAGGAATACACATTACAGGTACAAATGAAGGTTTTTGAAGAAAAAGTGGCGGAGATGGTGGGGAGACTGGCGGGAAAGCTGGCGGTGGAGGTGGCAAGTGTATCACGTGAAGAGGTGTGTCAACCACCGATGTAGGTTTCATGGTGGGTGGAATCACTGGGGGGCAAGAGGTGTAAGCACTTGGGATACAGGGTGGCTGCATGACGCTAGGAGGAGGTGGTACAGGTGGAAGGTGGATCACATGAAGTGGCGTATCCACCACTGATGTAGGTTTCATGGTAGGTGGTTTTGGTGGCTGTATCATACTAGGGAGACGTGGTGCGGTTGGAAGATGCATGACATGAATTGGAGAGTCTATAACTGATGTGGATTTTAAAGGAGGCTTAGTCTGTGGTGGGCATGGGTTGAATGCACTGGGAATACACGGAGACTGCATCGATGAAGGAAACATGTTTGGGAGAAATGCTCGCTGATTTTGATAGCCTGGTGTCAGGAGAGGAGTTCTAGGTAAAGTCAGTTGAGGCAGGGCGACAAATGGGCGTGCTTGGGGTTGCGATTTCCTTACAGGAATACCAGTACGAGGAATGTTATAGGAACCCTGAACCGTCTGTGAAACTTGTGTTCCAGGTGGACATGGTCTTAGGAAGTGAGGAATGCATCGCACAGATAGGGTCACCGGATATGACATCGGCCTGGACTGTGGTGCTACTATTTGGATCGGAATCGAGTTTACTTGAGGACCTGAATTAGGCGTGATGTATCCTTTCTGAGATGCTTGTGCTATTACCGTGTGCCGCATGCCTGGATACTGGGCGTTGTTACTAGCTGCTATTCTGGAATTACAGCAAAACGGATTGCAACTGATCACACAAGTTGTAAGACAGCTGGAGGTGCAGGTCCCTAAAACAGCCGGTGAAACACCTGCAAAGAAATAAGAAATTTTTTACTGAGTCTTTTCAGTGATTGTCTGTTTCAAATAATTTTAGTTTATTCGTAGTTTCTAATTTGACTAGCCTTTGACTTTTTATTTATATAGTTTCCCCCATTCTAGTCACCAGAATGAAATGCAAACTCTGAGGCTTGTTTACTGGAACAAAATACAACAATGCAGATAAGGCGTACTAGGTTGAAGTTCAATAGCTATGAACAAAGGCCAATTTACAGTTTCAGCAAAATTTCTATTTTCCATCTTAAATAATATTTACAATACATAACCTTTAAATCGCTACAAAAGTAGCAATTATGAAAGCCTCAATCAGATGTCAGACGGGTACGATCACGCGGGTTCTGTTATGGTGAAACTCCCACTGCCCTGTAAGCATAGATGACTAAATACAATAAGACGGGCTATTTTTTTGATCTGCAATACCTTATTTGTTAGGAGAGTGTGATGATTCTAAGAAATTAATTGTGTGTAATTCTCTCTAAAATTTGAAAGCTTAGGCGTTCAGAGAAATCATCACGGTACGGTATGTGCGAAACACTTTATATATAAAAATTACAAGCTTTGCTTTAATGTGTCTTTTCAGAGCTTCTAGTAGTTAACATACTCACTATCATCATCATCATTATCGTCAACATCATTATCAATATCATCGTCAAAAAATTAAGTTATTTTGCCCCTTACACGTTTACTTTTCCGTTCTGATGGCAAACTTAAAGAAAAATAGTGTTCTAGGGGAAACACCTGGGACACAAAAAATTCGTCATACCTGGGTGTACAATTCTAACAGACTGGATAAGAGTCTTCTGGTTAACTGGTGCTGGAAGTCGCCCAAGATTCTTTCTCAAAAGGTTCTGAATCGGTTTTGTCGGGTCCGGATCAACACCAGGACCAAACTTCAAAATGAGTGACACTGTCACTGTGGGATTCCTACTAAGAGTGCAAAAACAGCCAACTTCAGTTATATTAGGTCCAATTGATAAAACAATTAACACCCAAATCTCTGTAATATGCTTAAATAAAGAGCCACATACGAAGTGGATGAAGTGGTGATCCTCCTTGAGGTCGGTGTGGTAGCAGCAGTAGCCTGAGTAAGCGATGTAGGTCCCGAGGACGTGGATTTATAACCAGGGGTAGGGACTCCGGGTTTGGTCGGTGAGGTGGTAGGTTGCGGTCGAGTTCTTGTGCGTTTGCTGCAAAAAACAAATGGAATAATTACAAGGTCAGTTATATTGACTACCTTTTCCTTGTATACGAGATAAATAAAGTTGAAATGGAGGGCCGGTCGACTACCTGAACTCTTCAACATATCCAGACACAAATGTTTGGTCCTTTTTGAAAATTACCAGGATCTAAAAAGAAAAAAAGGATCAAAACGCTGGTTTTAATATGGCTTGCAATAAGTGGAAAATAGTAAAATCTTGAGTTCTGATTGCGGGATAACTAGGTTATGAACGTTGCCAGCCACTATATTAATTGCGTTCGCACATGCGTATACAATTGTAAAGTAGATCAGGTGCAGTGGATAAGTTGCCTGTCCATTAAAAGTCCTACGTAGCTTGATCCAGTGAAAGCGCCTGCAAAAAGGATCTATATCAGCATTTAATTGCTTACCACTAAACCATGAGTATCTAAGAGAGGATAATGAGATATTGTCTTCTCTTGTCTCAGATTTGTGATAGTATATACCTGTGATTCTATCTTTTCTTTGAGCTGCATGTAAAGGAGCGATGTTGACTGGCCAAACTCGTCTGTCCATAGCAACGACACAAACTGAAGTTTTGTGCGATATGTGATCAAGCCTAAAATGTTAAAATATTTTATGATCAATATAATATGTCACAAGCTCACTGGTTCTCCTTTATTCCTAGTATCTGTTTTCCTTCAAATTAACCAGTCTTACTGTACTGTGATTTATCATTGAACTGAATGGTACTATTCCTTAGCCAGAGCGTGCTGTTAGAAATGTAAAACACCACGACCGATTAATTTGAAATTGACCTGACTCTATGAAATCCTAAATTTGCCTTATTGTCTCTTTTGAGGCTAAAATAATTTTTGCTCAAGCAATAAAAAGACTGGACTTTCACTAGCGGTTAGAACATGTGTACTTCTTTTCCAGATGACATTGCATATCGTTTCTTAAATTTTGTTTGTCTGTCCTCCTGTGGTCACACTTTCAATAAACTAATTATACCGTCAAAGTGCACAGATAGTAATTTTATCGAGATGTGCAAAATCGTTACCTTCAAGGGGCTGCCTAGATACATAGTAATGAGGCTCGGTACATGGAACGTCCGACATAGTCCCATAGCTGATCACCTCCACGCCTACACAGTCCTCTTTTTTTCCGGTTGGTTCATTCGCTTTCCAAGTGGTGTATTCCACGCTTGTACCGTCAGACCAGGTATACGTCCCTTCAGTTATTCTGTCATTTAAACCGGTCCAAATTAATCCTGTGTTTCCGGGGGGCACCAGCGTCTGTACAAACGCCTCCTCGTGTGACGCGTGAAAGGACACCAAGGTAGCGTTATCCTTGGCACTCTGAAACAGGGCCCCATCCCAAGTTTGCTTGTCCGTGTGAAACCTGTAACACGTGCCGTCGTGCTTTTTATAGCCCGGGTTACAGTACACTGATAATTTGAAATATAAATAATTACAAATTGTTAGTACTCCTACTGAGAATAATGCTGATGAAAATAATTTTAGTAGTGGTAACAAAGGTCACTTACCATTTTGCATCACAATAAATACGTCTGAAAATGAAAAAGATCGCCACTAATTAATAGGTTATCGTGCAAGAATAAAATAAATAAACCGACAAACAAACAAATACCATTGATGAAGTAGGACACAAAGAATTCACCCCGAGAAAAAACATTTTAACCCGACGTTATGCGAACATCATTTCTTCAATATTCTATGCTGAGTACTAGTTACCGAAGAGGTAATTTCATACAAAGATGCACTGTAATTTTCAGGGAGTTATAATAACTCCTCTAGTGGGGCTAATTTAACTCCTTACAGTGGAGTTATTTTTCGTGGAGTTACTTTAACTCCAAAAAGGAGTTTAAAGAACTCTTTTTCAGGAGTAAAAGTGACCCCAGATATTGAGGAGTTAAAATAACCCCCAAAAAGGAGTTATCCTGTACCTAAAATTTTTACTCCACTTTCAGAATTAAATTAACTCCAAAAAGAGGAAAAACAACCCATGTAAGGAGTACAAATAACCCCATTTCGGAGTAATTTTAACTCCAGACTGGGAGCAAAAAGAACTCTTTTTCAGGAGTAAAAATGACCCCAAATTCGGAGTTAAATTAGGAGTTAAAATAACCCCAAAAAAGGGGTTATCCTGTACCCAAAATTTTTACTCCATTTTTGGAGTTATAATAACTCCCTAAAAATTACGGTGTGTTCGATAAGATATTTAAGCCCATAAGCCAGTGCGGTAATAGACTCTTCCACGGTTTTTTTCAACTTTTGTCATGGACCAGTTAGGGAAAATCCATCGACTTCACTGAAAACAGCGTCTTGAAAATTGGTAAAATTCCCAAGTTTAAAAGTGATTTGTAAAAAACTAAAGAAAATATAGCTTCGCAAAGTTGCCAAAATTTACAGACGTTTAAATGGTGGGAGGCAAGTTTGCCGACCCCAACCCCTCCCCCCCCCTCCTACCCCCTCCAAATAAAAACGTCTGTAAAATCTCGCGATTTTGGGCAGCAATATCTTCTTTAGTTTTCAACAAATCACTTTCAAAATTGGCAATTTTACTTATTTAAAGGTGCTCTTTCCAGTGGAATCAAAGGATTTTCTCTAAATTGTCCATGGAAAAAAGTTGAAAAAAAAAAAAACCGTTGAAAGGTGAATTCTCAGGTACTGAAGATGGTACGTATCAAAGCCAAGTTATCGAATGTAAGTAGTAGACACCGACTGTGGTCTAATGGATTTGAAGATAGTTTATTAGAAGCAATGAAACACTTTTATGTACTACGATTTGTCTCAGTATTCTAATAGGAGACCGAAAGGTTGGATTTGGACTCGGCCTTGTATTTTTTTAGAAAAGAAATAGGTTTTATGAATTTGACAGCATTTTGTCAGATTTTAGCTCCTTTATAAGCATAGATTCCTTCCCAAGTAAGTAGAAGAACCATGGAAGCTTGTGTGACTTTTATATAATATATAGTTTTGAAGCTGTAAATTTCTAACTTTTGATAAGAGCATAATACCTGTATAGGGAAGAACGTTGTCCTTCAGTAATGGGTCCTTATTTCCCGGTATGGGATCAAAGTAAACAACAACATAAAACTTTGAAGATGGTGATCTAGCCAGCCCAACGCCTACAAAGTTACTTGAAAGCCATATCATGTGAATGAAAGGCAACGCAAGCACTTTTGGCTTTCGCCTCGTCCAGTCATAATACTTGACAGATGTATACCACGTGATTACGACCGTTTGAGCCAATCCTGTTTGAGTTCCAACTCTGGTGAAAACATTCGTTCCATAACTTGTATTTGGATCAATTGAAGTAGTACCTCTTGCGACTAACGTTTGTGCCCAGTTCTGCGCTGCTACGGAAATCCGAGTGGAGAGAATGAGAGGACCTGCTCCATGAAGCCTTCGGAATCGGTTGATGTACTCCACAATCTCTATTCTGAAGCCAGCTAAAATCAAGTCATGCCAAACGGCACTCAATAAGCTACAATTATACAATAAAGCGGCAATGATATTATTTTTATTTGATCGCGTTTTAATAATGTGTTGCATTTTCTCACGCGTGACGATACGTTTGCTTTTAGCCAATCAGAATCGGGGAAATATTTTGAATGAATAATAATGGCTCATATACCATGATGGCTAAGCCAATCAGAGCTATAGAATTGTATCATCCAATGATTCAGTTTTATATAATGTGCCGATATTGCTAGGAGTATATCGATGTTGGTCACTCTCTAAGACTAAAAGGGTTAAAGGATACCTACGTATATTTGTTGTAACTCCAGGTGTGGTAACTCCTGGTGTCCCGGATGGGGTACTAGTTTGCCTTGCACTTGGAGTTGGACTGACAATTCGACCAGGTGAACCTTATAGGGAAGTACAGATATTTCAGTTTCAATTGAGCTTCTAAAGTAACGGCTGCTTTGATAGAGCTATTTTTGTTTGACCTTGAAATGACTAATGCGCATTAAAAACTAAATCAACAAACCTACAATATAAGAATTTGATTGATTTGTTTATCAAGCAGAGTCATATGCGCGCGGCATTTGGCAATTAGCGAACTCGCCATGTACTCTATAATTTTGGTAAAACGAATTTAAATATAAATTGTATGTCTAATTAACATTAACGTTATCTACTCTTGACATTCATCCAACCACTTGTTTCTAAACAGTTTTACTAAATTTTGTTTGAATTCCCCGCAGATTGATTTGGAAAAGCTGATCAACCGAATTCTAGGAAACGGAATTATGGTACTGATTTTAAAGCCTGTTCTTTACCTGTTGTTGATCTTATGGTTGGTGTTCCTGTGGATCTTCCAGTCGGTCTTGCAGTTGGTCTTGCATTTGGTCTTGGTGGCTTGACTGTAAAAACAAGGAGACAAATTTCGACGATTCTGTGTGATTATTTCATTGAAATGATAAAGCCAAAATTTTTCAAGAAATAACACATTTATATAATGTTTTTGCCCATCAACTGAATATCATGGACGAGTGTAGCTGCAGCCAAAAACAACAACGAACAAAACCAACATGTAAAAATCCATTCTCTCTAGATCTGTCCGGGTAGCATTTATGCAAATTTATTGGGAAAAAAAGCGTTTACATAAGAAAAGAGTTCAACTCCCACGGGAGATTGGTATAGAACACCAACATGGCTGTCGTTTCATTGTTTTGGAACACCAATATGGCCGCCGTGACGTCATGTGAAGACGCTCTATTGAAATCAGGTAGCTTATTGCGTACTTAGGCCTTTTTTTTGTCCAAGCAATTTTTCGCTCGCGATCGGTCATTATTTAAAACAAAGTGATATGTTACCTTCACATCTATGACCGCGATATCCTGGTCTGCAGCGGCAGCGATAACCACTTTTTTCGTCTTCGTCAACGATACAGCTTCCACCATTTTTACAGGGACTGGAAAGGCAAGGATCTTTCTCTGCAGAATTTGAATTTGCAATTAAGTCCTCTTCCAAATGGGAATAGTGTTAAATTATTTGTTTTGTAAAGTGCAGTTGCAATTAATCTCACTTGTAAGAATACAAAAGTTTAGCGACTCCCTTTTATTGAGGATAATTACATGTATGTGAAGGTTTACGTTCAGGTTCTGTTTCTTAGCTAATAAATTTCTTTCTTACGCTAACAATCAAACTATTACATGTACTACAACTACTATCACTACTACTACATGTAAGTTACCTCTACTAGGGAACTTAAGAACCACGACGACGACTTTGTCGACGACGACCGGAAGTGAGATACCGTGCACTGCGCAAGCGCGGTTAACAAATTTCGTCGTCGTGGTGTTGTCGACGACGCCAAACACAGTAGAATCACGTCGTCCTGTAATCCACAAGCTTCGGCAGGTATAACTCCCCGTTTTTAAGCGATTTTTCAAGGGCTTTGTAGTTTGTCACCTCGTAAATCCAGGTATCCTTTCTTTTTTCTCCTAACAAGCGATGTTGATTGAAAATTTGAATGATGAATTGTGTTTACTTCGAAGCCAACACTGAGCTGTGCAGGCCGAGCGAGCGAACTCGTAAGTGACAAATTTATTTGTACGTATTTAGGTCAGGCAAATCATAAATC